GGAATACACAACAGATTAGGGGAAGCTGAGGATTGAATCAGTGAGTTAGAAGACAGGGTTGAAAAAACTCAGAGAACCAAAAAGAAAAAAAAAAAACCAAGAGGACAGCTCAAGAGAGCTGTGGGACAACATGAAATGTAACAATATTAGAATAGCAGGTGTTCCAGAAGAGGCAGAAAGGGAGAAAGGAATAGAGAAGGTATTTGAAGAAATAATGGTAGAAAACCTCCCTAACCTGGTAAAGGAAAAAGCCACACAAGTTAAGGAGGCACAAAGAACCCCCAGCAAGAAGAACCCAAATAAGTCCACACCCAGACACATCATAATTAAAATGCCAAAAATTAAAGACAAAGAGAGAATCTTAAAGGCAGCAAGAGAAAAGCAAACTGTTACTTACAAAGGAGTTCCCATAAGAGTGATACCTGATTTCTCATCAGAAACTCTACAGGCCAGACGGGAATGGCATGAAGTACTCAAGTAATGGAAAGCAAGGATCTGACACCAAGATTACTATATCCAGCAAGGCTATCATTCAAAATAGACGGTAAAATAGAGCTTCCCAGACAAAAAAAAAAAAAAAAAAGCTAAAGGAGTTCATCACCACCAAGCCAGCATTACAAGAAATGTTTAAGGGACTGCTGCAATGAGAAGAAGAAACAGAGAGAGAAAACTAGGCATGCATAATTAAAATGACAATAAATAAGTATCTATCAATAATAACCTTACATATTAAATGGAGTAAATGCTTTAATCAAAAGGCATAGGGTAGCTGAGTGGATAAAGAAACATGATCCAACTATATTCTGTCTACAAGAGAACTACCTTAGAACAAAGGACACACACAGGATGAGAGCGAAGGGATGGAAAAAAATTTTCCATGCAAATGGAAAAGAAAAAAAAAGCTGGAGTAGCAATACTCATATCCAACAAAATAGACAAAATGCAGGCCATCACAAGAGACAACAAAGGTCACTACATAATACTAAAGGGATTGATCCAACAAGAGGATTTAACTTTGGTAAACATATATGTATCCAATATAGGAGCACCTAAAATACAAAAAAAAAACACAACTTCTAGAGGACACATGTGGAATTTAAGTAACAAAATAAACTGAAAAATGGAGTGGACTCAGACATGGAAGCATGGAAAGAGTGTGGAATCTCAGAGGGAAGGTGGAGGATGATGGGTGGGAGGTAATCAGCCAAAGACCTTGTATGCATAACCCATGGACACAGATAATAGGTTGCTGAAGGCCTGGGGCAGGCTGGAGGGGGTCGATCCATGTGGGCACACCGACGTCTTTGTCGCCACAGGTCACAGACTTTTCCTGGGGTGGATGCACAGGAACTGGGACTTTTTCCTTTAGGGGTTTCTCCTACTGGTTGATACCTGAGACTTTCTTCAGTTACTCGTCCGCTGGCATCTGGCCATGGAGAGTGTGAGGCACAGGCCTCGGTTTTTACTAAGAGACGTTGAAGAAGAGAAACTCAAATAATCCCTTCTGAGCCTTTTTTACTTCACTCCAGGGAGTATTTTGTTTAAAGCAGGTCACCCAATCCACCCCAGCTGGCACCAGCTCAGTGGGGCATGTCTGATTTTGAACTGTGAGCACTCTGGGTACTTTCCCATCTTATAATTTGCATATGTTTGAACCCCCACTGGCCTTCCCATTTGTCTTTCCTCTATTATGGATGAATGTGCCCCCACTGGTGACCCTGGTCAGGCCCTGGAACCCTGGCTCCTCCCCTTGGGTCCCTATACCCTGGGCTCATCCTGGTCAGTGAGTCTCCAGGGGCTGCCTATCCCTGCTTGTCCTGCCTCTGACCTTAACTCACCTTAACCTACTTTCCCGCTGGACAAGGTGGGACCACCCACCTTCAGAATCACTAACCCAAGTCAGATTTAACAGTGTCCTGTCTGAAAAATAAGTCCCTTTTACCATGGGAATTATATGAAAATGCCACATTCATCTAATTCTTATAATTAATTAATTATTCAATTTGTTTCTCATGTCTGCAGATGGAATCTATCAGAATTATGAAATTTATCAAAAGTGTTTTCATGTGAAAAATTTTCCCAACTCTAAATGTGTTTACTGCCACTTATTTAATGTCACTTATTTCAGTTAGGGGTGTTTTACATTTTTTAATAAAGAACTTTACAAATTGTTTTCAAATTGGACTTGTAAAAAATCGTGCTGTGTATTGCCAGTTATCATTATTCTAAATCATCTCATATAGTCGTTGAGTTTCGTGGTATTCAATGTGAGGTTGGGTGGGCCCCCTACAAAACAGCCAGGTCTCCTGAGCCACACCCAGTCCTCCCCTGGACCCTGAAGTCTGACCTGCACATCCTGTGTCCAGCAGGACATCACACTGATGGACCAGAGGCTCTGCCATCAATCCTCCTGGGAGCCTCAGGGTCCTCTGGGTTCCCATGTCTCAGCCCATTGATGTTGGCAGTGGCTTCTCCTGTGCTCCTGGGCCAGCGGGGGGACTGAGTGAGCACCAGTGGATCTGGCTTGCTTTGGTGGAGATGGAAATGTCTGAGTGTTTTCAGGGAAACGGTTGCCCATTCCGAGCTATAATACCGAGGACATCGCCTTTCCATGGACACCTGACAGGACGTTGAAAACCAGAGGTGCGCAGTCTCAGGATGTCCTTTGTGCAAGTTGTTAGAAATAGTGCCTCCTACGCACCTAAGCTGATGGGGGCCCACCTTCTAATGAAAACAAGGACATGAAATCACGCACTTTGATTGGTCTCTGAAAGGTGTTGGCTCAGAATTACAGCTGAATTCAACTACAGATGGGAGTAACCTGTTCTGGCAGGCAGACCATAGACTTAATTCCTCCTCTTCCTCAGATGTGGCTAACATTGCCCCACCCTGCCTCTACAGTGAAATCACCTGCAGAGATTTGAGGAAAGAAGCACATGTCCATTTCCACCTCAGAATGTACTCATGTCCTGGGTCTCAGTGAGGCCCGTGGGTTGAGGACTGCGCTTGTTGGGAAGAGCTCAGGCCAGCTCTTGATGTTTAGGTTCAATAAGGGTGTTTGTTGAAGGACAACATTTTCATCTCTAGGAACAAAGTGGTGAAATCCTTTCATTTTGTTAGGGACCGGTGAATTTTCTTAACTATTTAAAAAGCAGCTCAGGTAGTGGCTAATAGGATTAGGGAAATGATCTTATTGCAGCTTTATTTTCTGGGCTGCTCCTTGAGGTGGGGGAGAAACAGCAAAGGCCCAATCTGGGGTTAGTGGTGGGTGCAAAAATGCTGATTTAACTAAGATATAGGGAAGTGATGGCGAACCTTTTGAGCTCGGTTTGCCAGCATGTTGAAAAACCCTAACTTAACTCTGGTGCCGTGTCACATATAGAAATTTTTTGATATTTGTAACCATAGTACAACAAAGATTTATATTTTTGATATTTATTTTATATATTTAAATGCCATTTAACAAAGAAAAATCAACCAATAAAATGAGTTCACCTGTCACCTCTGACACACGTGTCATAGGTTCGCCATCACTGATATAGGGTATGCTCAGAGACTTTGCGGTCCATCCAACGCCCCCAACGTGTAGCTCAATAAGAGTCTTTAGAACAGCTTTCTGAGTCCATGGGGGCAGAATTCTGTCCCCTGTCCTCACGTTTCAGAGACATAGGCAGAGGTACCACCAAGACTTTAGGTGAGATGCCTTTGATAGGCCCCCATGACCTTGCCTGAGCAGGTTCATGTCACTCAGAGACACCTGGCCCATGGGGCTGAAGAGCAGAGTTCTATCAGCACCAGGGCTTGGAAGGAGACCAGGGTGTTGGAGGGAAGATAGAGGGATGGACCTGAGGTGTGTGGAAGGAGCCATTGGGAAAAGGGCTGTGTGAACCTGAGGCCTGGTTCTCTCCCACCAGCCAAGAAGTACAGTCTTTGAATGTATTTGTTCAAAGCTGCAAAAGGAAAACTAGAACAACAATATTCAGCATTTTTAGCAACAGATTTTATTATTTAAAATACAGCCAGCATTGCTGTATTTAAAGTTGAATTTCTTACAAAATTTCACATTCAATGTTTCCAGATCACGTTAGCTTCCTACATTTGATGCCACAAGTTTTATCAACAATTTTTATTTCCTAAAAAAATCAATTATTTGCTGAGTTGTGTGTTAGAGACTTCTTTACAAGTTTTCACACATACACAGACACACAGTAGCACATACACTCATATTTTATGATATGAAATTTAATTAAGCTATCCTCTGCTTTGATTTTAGGATTGCTATCTACTTGGTGTGGGAAAGTTAAGGTTGACTGAAAAATAAATGATCACTGAAGGCCTTGCTTTCTTGACATAGTGTGTTTTGTACTGTATGATTGAATGCTCACATTTACTACAAGTGTTGCTTTATGAATAAACGGTTTCTTGTGATTTTTACCCTGAATAACTTCACTAGTGTGAATGATCTGTAAAGAAATGTTTGGGTTTCCTCAAGAAGGTTCATGTTCTGATTTCCTGTTTTAGTGTTTAGTTCTCACTGAGTTTGATGTGCACACAAAATCTGATAGTTGGCTGAATGTTTGTCAATAGTGACCATAGTCATAGGGTTTCTCCTGGTGAAATTTATTCCTTTTACCAATAATTATAAGTGAAGCCTTACGCATTCTCCTCTGAACAATATGTCAAGCGTCTTCAAAGTTCAAAGTTCAGAGCTGTTGCACAGGACATCTAAATCAGCATGTTTACAATATGAGTTTTCATGTTATCTGAAATCAGGCCAATGATTAAAGGCTTGCACAGTTACCACACACATGGACCCACTCACATATTAAAGGTCTTTCTGGCCAAGGAGCTTGGTGATTCATAGATTTTCCACATTGCTTACTGAGGGTTTCTTTCATGTGTGCATGTGCTGGTGTGTTTAAATGATAAAGCTATGGTCGATGTTCTTCCACATTTATTACACATGCAATGCCATCTTATGTGCAGTCAGGCCAGACTATCTACTGAAGGCTTTCATGATTTCCTCCCCTGTGTTGGGTTCCCTCATGTCTTCTAAGGGAAGAACGATGACTGAAGGCTTTGCCACATAGCCGACATTCATAAGGCTGTTCTCCAGTGTGGGTTCTCTGGTGTCTTATGAGATTAGCATGCTGACTGAAGGCATTCCCACACTGACCACATTCATATGGTTTCTCTCCGGAATGTGTTCTGTTGTGGCGTGTTAGCTCAGAACTTTGACTGAAAGCCTTCCCACATATGGAACATACATGTGGTTTCTCCCCGCTGTGAATTTTCTTGTGTTGGCTAAGGCCAGAGCTTTGATTAAAGGCTTTCCCACACTGATGACACTCATACAGCTTCTCCCCAGGATGGATTCTCTCATGTTTTCTAAGGTAAGATCTTTGCTTGAAAGCTTTGTCACATAGGGGACATTCATATGGTTTCTCTCCTGTGTGGATTGCCTCATGCTGTCTTAGGTAAGAACTCCGACTGAAGGCTTTCCCACACTCACGACACTTATAAGGCTTTTCTCCAGTGTGCCTTCGATTGTGGTTTCTAAGGTCAGATCTTTGTAAAAAGGCTTTCCCACATACATTACATTTAAATGGTTTCTCTTCACTGTGAGTCATCTTGTGTCGTCTGAGGCTGAAGACATTGCTAAAGGCTTTCCCACATTCACATATATTACCTCTGGTGTGAAATTCATTGTGTCTACTAAGGCATGACTCTTCTCTAGGTGACTTTCCACACTGTTGGCTGACATAAGATTTCTTTCCTCTCTCAATTAAAGAATGTTGACTCACAGCTGATCTATGAGTAAATTCATCACTCAAATCAGCACATTCAATAGGATCCTCTGGAGTGTGAGATTCCCGCTGTGGGGAAGGAGATGAAAGGTGTCAATGGTTTGCCCACATACATTCATACAATCATTTTCTACATATCAATTCTAGCATATTAGTCAGAAATACTCTCTGGTGAAAATGTTTTACGTGTTTGTTACATGACACCCTGGCAGGCACAAAGATTTTCTCTTTTTTAGTATCTCCATCAGAAAGTTATTACATAAATTTGTCCAGTGATGGTGAACCTTTTGAGCTTGGCTTGTCAGCATTTTGAAAAACCCTATCTTAACTCTGGTGCCGTGTCACATATAGAAATTTTTTGATATTTGCAACCATAGTAAAACAAAGATTTATATTTTTGATATTTATTTTATATATTTAAATGCCATTTAACAAAGAAAAATCAACCAAAAAAAATGAGTTCGCGTGTCACCTCTGACACACGTGTCATAGGTTCGCCATCACTGCTTTAGTCTGTTTCAACAACTAGGTAATCAGCAAATGTTATGATATTGTCTTTTTTGTTCAAGATATTGCTTTGGCTCATGTTTGTTTCTTCACTGATTTCAAACTATCCGAAAGTTTCTTGAAAAGAGCTTAATCTCAAGTTAACTATACAATTGCATTCAGGTAGTTGTGCTCATGACTAACTTATCTCATTGCCACATATTCAATTTGGATGATTAGTTTCACACCTATGAGCCTTACCATTGGCATGGTGGAGGATATGCCCTTCTTGCTGACCTGCTGCATTAATATCATCTCTGTTTTTTTAAGGGGATCTCTCATGTCTGAAGGGATTGAAAAATAAAATGTGTTACAATGTCATTAGCAGAATGCACCATGATCAATACATATGTTTTTAAACATGGCACTGCATTAGAGAAAGTGTGTTCAATGAAATATTTTAGGTAGTACAAACAATGTAAAGTAAATTGAAGTTTAGGGGGAAATAATATCAGGATTGAAACATGAAAAGCAGGAACCAGTGAGAGATGATGGGTCAGCCTATGGTGGTAAAACCTGAAAAGGCAGGATCTGGACAAGAATTACTATAGCAAAGTCCAACTGTCAGAAGCACACAATTATATTTTTCCACAAAGAAAAAGAAAAACACAGGTAGGACACACCCCTTCTCATTCCTATGTGCAAGAACTAACAACATAAGGAATCTTTCCCAGGTGTCCTCCCTTGGATTTTGGAATGTGTAACTCAAATCCAAAGCCTTCACCTGATACTCTAAGAACGTACTCAGTCACTGAGAGGCATCTCCTCACATTGAAGCCCTCACCCCTGCTGCTCACCTGCACTCTGACCTTGGAGAAACCCAGTCCCTTCACTCCTCAGCCGTCCTTGATCCAGCTGGAAAGTCACACCTGAGTTGCAGATCCGATACCCTGTTTGTGGAAGAAAGGTAAATGGATCACGAGTCCTGTGCAAATGAACCATTGCAGTTAGCAAGTCTAAGGCAGATTACTGCTGAGGAACACAGAGGTGAATGAAGGTGGGTGCTGGCAACAACACTTTCAGAGAAAGCATTGCAGGTCCTGCACCAAACCGGGAAAAATAGACATGTGGCCACAGCAGGAAGTACTGATTGATACTTATTTCCATGATCAAGTTCAAGGAAAGAATTCAGAATACTCAGTTTTCTCAAAATGTGTGAGGTTACTGTCTCCATAGTGGGTTCAATATTATTTTCATACAGAATCCAATAAACATACTTTCATAATAGTAACCAAAATGTTCTTAAGTTCAATAGTCTGCTCTTAAGCCTCCAAATACACTAGAACAGTGGTTGGCAAACTGCGGCTCGCGAGCCACATGTGGCTCTTTGGCCCCTTGAGTGTGGCTCTTCCACAAAATACCGACTTCTGCGCATGGGCCACGAAGTTTCAATTGCACTGTACATGCGTGCCTGCACGTGGTATTTTGTGGAAGAGCCACACTCAAGGGGCCAAAGAGCCGCATGTGGCTCGCGAGCCGCAATTTGCCGACCACTGGTCTAGAACATACTAAGTATTTTAAAGTATTTGATCAATCACGTATGGATTAACAATATCCATTGCTTTCTTTTCTATAATCTGAGTATTGGAGACAGAGTTGCAAAATGATATGAAGTTGTGGTCAAGATGACATTCTAGTGTGGAGATGAAAAAAATGTAAAAAAAAAATCTTTCTTCTAAGCAGTTATGAGGGTTATGAGAGAATCAGGGCAGTGCCTGGAGCAAGATAGTAGCAGCTGTTCTATGTAGCTGAAGGAATGGACACTTACATGCATAAATACACTTACCGTCTTACATATACAAACACACACATGTACTCACATACATACATACATACATACGGTATATATGTTTTAAGACTCACCCACAGAGACCAGGCCACTGATGTTCTCCAGCACCACATCTCTGTACAGCTTCTTCTGGGGTGTGCCCAGCAGGGCCCACTCTTCCTGGGTGAAGTCAACAGCTATATCCTCGAAGGTCACTGATTCCTGAAACATCATGGACATTCCAGGTTAAACAGAGCACTTCCTGCCAGTGTGCGGAGGAGGAGGGTTGGGGAGCTGGGTGTACGGAAAGATCAGTCTGTGTTTGGGGTTCTACTCAGGTCACTGTCAGTGCTGAGCTGGTGTCTGCCTTTCAAACACATTCATAGAACCATGCAAGGTATGAGTTTGTATTCTGCTTTGTGACTAGAGATGAAAAAATGTAAATGCTTTGCCCACATACACCCATACATTTCTTTCTCACATATCAGTTCTAGAATATCAGTCAGTAATTGTCTCCGGTGAAAATGCTTCAAGCGTTAGTTGCATACGCATGTTCTGTGACTCCCTGGCAAGCATAAATATTTTCTCTTTTTAGTATCACAATCAGAGATTTATTAGATAAATTTGGGAGATTATAGTATGTTTCAACAACTAGATAATGAACTGATTTTATGATATTATCTCTGTTTAATACTCAGGTTATTGTTTTGGCTCTTCTGATTTCTTCCCTGATTTCAAACTGTCCAATTTTTTTGCTTGGAAAAAGCTTAATCCCAAGTTAACTACACAATTGCATTCAGGCAGTGTGTTCATGAAAACTTATTTCATCACCACATATTTAATTTGGATGATTAGTCTCACGCCTATGAGCCTTACCATTGGCATGGCGGGGGATAGGCCCTTCTTGCTGACCTGCTGCATTAGTATCTTCTCTGGTTTTTTAAAGGGGTCTCTCATGCCTAAAGGGGTTGAAAAAGTATAAATTGTTACAATGGCGTTAGTGGAAGAAAAAAATGTACATATGCAGCAAGATCAATATATGTATGACTTCAAACCTGGCACTTCATTCTAGAAAGCATATCCAATGAAATAGTCTAGGTCTGTGGTCGGCAAACTGCGGCTCTTTGGCCCCTTGAGTGTGGCTCTTCCTAAGCCTTAGGAGTACCCTAATTAAGTTAATAACAATGTACCTACCTATATAGTTTAAGTTTAAAAAATTTGGCTCTCAAAAGAAATTTCAATCCTTGTTCTGTTGATATTTGGCTCTGTTGACTACTGAGTTTGCCGACCACTCGTAGTACAAACAATGTAAAGTTAATTGAAAATTAGGGACAAATGAAATCAAGATTAAAGCATGAAAAGCTGGAAGTGGTGCAGAGATGCTGGGCCTGTCTATGGTGGGAAAACCTTAAGAGGGATTATCTCAACAGGAATCACTATGGCAAAGTCCAACCGAAAGAAGTACACATTGGTTCTCCCCCCTAAAATGGAAAGAAAACTGGAGGAAGGACGCCTGCCTTGTGATTGAGATGTGCAAGAAATGATAAGATGAGGAATCTTCCCGGTGTCCTCCCTTGGATTTTGGAATGTGTAACTCACTTCCCAAAGCCGTCACCTGATATTCTAAGGACGTGCTCAGTCACTGACAGGCACTTCCTCGCACTGAAGCCCTGACCCCCGCTGCTCACCTGCCGTCTGGCCTTGGAGAAACCCAGTCCCTTCACTCCTCAGCTCTTCTGGCCTCAGCTGGAAAGGCACTCCTGAGGTGCAGATCCGATAGCCTGTTTGTGGAAGAAAGGTACATGGATTTCGAGTCCTGTGCAAATTAACCATTGCAGTTACCAAATCTAAACCAGGTTACTGAGGAGGAACAAAGAGGGATTGAGGGACAGTCCTGGTAACAAGATATTCTACAGAGAAAACATTGAAGGCCCTTCACCCAACCAGGAGACAAGACAGACTGGTGGCAAAACCAGAGAAGACTGCTAGATGAATATACCCATGATCAAGCTCAAAGTCTGAAGTCAGAATACTTAGTTTTCTCAAACTGTGAGAGGTTAATGGCTCCAGAGTGGGTTCAATATTATTTTCAAACCAAACCCCATCAACATAATTTCCATAAGAGTGATCAAAATTATCATATTTTCAATAACCTGCCCTTACTTTTCCAAATACACTCAACCTATTTTTAAGTATTTGATAAATCAATTATGGATGAATAATGTCCAGTGATTCCTCCACCGTATTCTAAGTGCTGGAGACAGAATTGCAAGATGATACAAAGTTGTGGTCAAGATGACATTCTAGTGTGGAGATGAAAACAAAATGTAAAAAAAAAAATCTTTCTTCAAGCACTTTTGTGGGTTATGAATCAAGGCAGTGCTTGGTGTGGAATAGTGGCAGCTGCTCTATTCATATATGTAAGATGGACACTTACATATATGAATACTTTCACATACATACAAACATACATACAAGTTGTAAGACTCACCCATAGAGACCAGGTCACTGATGTTCTCCAGCACCACATCTCTGTACAGCTTCTTCTGGGGTGTGCCCAGCAGGGCCCACTCTTCCTGGGTGAAGTCAACAGCTATATCCTTGAAAGTCACTGATTCCTGAAACATCATGGACATTCCAGGTTAAACGAAGCACTTCCTGCCAGTGTGTGGAGGAGGAAGGTTGGGATGACAGCATTGAGGAATGATGGGGAGCTGGGTGTATGGAAATATCAGTCTGTGTTTGGGGTTCCACTCAGGTAACTGTGAGTACTGAGCTGCTATATGCCTTTCAGACACATTTTTAGAAGCATACACACTATGAATTCATAATAATCCTATATAATAAAGAGGCAATATGCAAATTGACCATCATGCCCTCACAAAGATGGCTGCCTACGACCAGGCTGGCAGGGAGCCCGTGAGGGGCAACCAGGCTGGTAGGGGGGCAGTTAGGGGCGACCAGGCCGGCAGCGGGGGGCAGTTAAAGGGCAACCAGGATAGCAGGTGGGGCAGTGAGGGGCAACCAGGAAGGCAGGCAGGTGAGCGATTAGGAGCCAGCAGTCCAGGATTGTGAGAGGGATGTCCGACTGCCGGTTTAGGCCCTGGGATTGAGCCTAAATCAGCAGTCAGACATCCCCCGAGGGCTCCTGGATTGGAGAGGGTGCAGGCTCAGCTGAGGGGACTCCCCCATGCACAAATTTTGTGTACTGGGCCTCCAGTTTGTTATAAAGAAGCATCACATGTGGTGTGGTTTTACACAGTCCGAGAGTTTCTTCGTAACCTGATCATTAGAATTTCTGGACAGGTGGTCATAAAATAGTCACTTATAAATTCATCACATAAATTGTCTTTTTCCATTAATTTCAAGAAAGTCCATAAATTCATCACAACACAACAATGCCCATGTTGTGATACATTTGTGACATGATCATTGGTTGAAATATGTTCCTAGAGGAACTTTTGTTTCCTCATCTATAAACCAGTGTCATTACTTATGAATGTTGAAACATTTAATGAACTAATGTATGGAATGTTTCTTTTGTAGCAAACCTGCATGAAATACTAGACATTACTCAGAACTGAGCAGGTTTATACAGAATTTGATACCAGTAGATGTGTTCTGTCTTATTTCTACAGAATTCAGATATTCAGAACAAACAACAGCCCAGATGGTCGGCAGCACAAGCCAGGGCTGTGAGGGGCTATGTTGAAGGTCAGTCCTAGCCTGACCATCCTGTGGGATGAGGCCTCCCATTCTCGATTTTGTCTGGGACCTCATAACCAGTTATTACTATTTTCCTGGTAGCTTTATCTTGTCTTGTTCTAAAGAATAACAGAAGCCACATTATTTGGTTTAGTCTATGTAGTTTCCCAAAAATTTACCAAGGACCTAGCTGTTACTCTACCTACTATATCCCTTCTCCTTCATGGGTGCCAAAAATTAAGGAAATCCTACTCCCTGCCCATTAATTTCTAAGAGGTAAAAGTGGTATTGGGGGGCGTAAGAGAAGGAACTGTAATTTTAGTTTCACATTTTATAAATTTTCAAAAGTGCAAATGCATTTTATCATTGTCGGTCCTAAAATTGGGGAAAATATAATAATTTATCTAAACCTTTGTCTTGCTCCTCTCCACACTGAGCAGCCCTCACCGTGGCCCTTGCGGCACTGGATCACTTGTGCTCATGTGCTCACACAGGTGCCCCCAACAATGGACTATCACGTTCTGCTCTTCACGGTTCTCTGTTGCTTGCAAGCATCATCACGCTAAGCTCATTTCAACCAAAGACACGGTTAGTGTGTTCGTGATTGACCAGTGACCCTATGGACTGGATTTAAGAAAACGTCTCTGCTCTCTTCTATAAACAAGCAAGGAAATGTAGCCTGTCATAAATCTGGGTCATGTTGAGAAGGAGATTCCCTATGGATGAGTTTCTGACCCATGATATCTATCCCATTATTTCAGGCAAACCTCGTTGGAACTCAGATGCCTGAACACCACTTAAGACACCCATGCCAATAGGAAACACTTGTCCATCTAATGGCCCTGGGATGTAATTTCCATAGAAAGACATATTCTCTACTCACCTGTGGCTGCATGGTCAATGATCCAGTTGCCAGGTGTCTTTCTCTGGGTTTTCACCCACAGACAGTCCAAGCACTAAGCAAGCAAATCTGGGGACAGAGAAAGAAGCCATGAGACTCCAGTCTTGTGCACAATTTCCAGTCCTACCTGTCAGAAAGGCCCAGTGTTCACCTGGGTATGTTCCCCACTCCCAGACTAACAAACTGAAACCAGTGTTAAACTCTCAGATTAACATGCCCAGATCTCTACTCTTCAGGGTCAATTGTAATAGGGCTGTAGCTATCGTTGCTATAACGAAGGTCAAATTACAGATATCTTACAGAAAGGAACATGATAAATATTGAGTGTGCTATGTTAACGAACCTACACCATCTATAATTATTCAAGTCCCTCCCTGAATCCAAAGTGTATAGATCCTTGACTCATGCCATATGTAGACATTGGTTTCCACCTGCAGGTAAGCACTGTGGAATTTCTCAGGTGTCATTATTATTGCCTTATGCATCTGCATGGTTTTTCCTAGCAGTCAAGACCTTAAAATCTCCACCATCAGAAAGTAGCAGGAGGACATACATGAGTCACAGAGTTAATGTCATGTACTGCCTCAGTTCTCTAGGTCAAGGGAGCCCAGAGAGTAAAGAATGGCTG